TAGGGGAAATGGTGATGTGAAATAAACACACATATGATGTCAAAGTTTTGTTTGTTGACGTTTTAAAAAAAGCCCTGCCTAGTCTAAATTGAAAATGTCTTTACTATCATAGTTGTCAATGACCGTTGGCAGTTTTACTTTCCAGTCGCGCATAACATCGCCATTTTCAACGGTCATAGTACTGAAGCTAATGCCAGGGTGTCTTCTAAAACAGTCAAACTACCCGTTGAAAGCTATGAAACTGCTGACTTTCAGATCTTTGGCAAATGGTAAGGCCTTTTCTTGCATCATGGGGCCGCTAATTGGGATTCTTCTGGCCTTGGCTTCTTTAAACCACTACCATGTCAATTCGTTGATCTCTTCATTGCCAGTCTTTCGAATTTTTCTTCAATTTCTGTCATCCCATACAACCGCTCGCTTCAGAAAGTCTAATCACCTCTATTTTCTTGTTAAGAGTCAATATTTTTCTCAAATTGCTAGTCATAATGACGATGATAACTTGCAGATATAAAATCAGAAAGTGATGATTCCAATGAACTTCATTCTTTATATGCCTGCGGCTTCCATTGAAATTGCAAATTAGCATATGATTAACATAGTACCACAAAAATCAAAAATCTCATCGCAGACACATCTCAAATTGTAGCTGGTGACATAGGTTGAACAAATTCTATATTGCGATAAATAGGGTACTTTTTCATATCCTGAATTACCGGTACTTAAAAAATCCAGGTTTAAAAACATGATAAAAAAAATGCATGTATCGATGTATGCCTAGCAATAAAAATGGTATCCCTATTTTCTTAACACTATTTTACACAACAGAATGCTGTTTTATGTCACCATGGAACACTAACTATATAGTTGGCATGCAATTTATGACAAACTTTTCCGAAATTTATAAATCTACCTTAATAAAGTTACAGCCAAAGCATAGCATTTGGTATAATTGCATGTTACTGAACATGTCACGATAATTATTATGGAAAAGAAATTTCTGTTTAATATCGTATTATTTCTAATCCAATCATTCTTGTCCATAATACTGAGCAATGTTCTTGAAATGATAAAATACTGTTACCATAGAAACCAGTTCATGAATTTAAAGTAAAAAGTAAAAATTTAAAGTTCAAAGTAAAAATGTTGTAATTTTTCATGTTTAGGTTCAAGAAAAATGAGAAAGTATAAAAAAATTTACACACAGCAATTTAATCATTTTTAATCACATTCGGACAAAATCATCAAAGAAATTCATAAATATTATTGTATACATGTATGTATGCTATTGTTTTTGAGATTATGTTTAAGATGGTAGACATGCGACTTTTAATCCTGAAAATCAAAACAAATTTGAGTGTGCAAAAATAGATTTCTTTTCAAGTTAGTGCATACATAGGAATTTGATGTACTGTTATATCACTTCATTTCATTTTAATAACTGATTTTATGTTATATCATGATGTACAGTTGAAATCCAAATTCTTACAAGTCTTCACAAAATAAATGTACATACTTATTTCTATATGTTCAAAATTTGGATCAAGATCCTGTACCATTGACAAGTACCTTACATGTATGTTCATTTAATGCAAAAAACAAATTATAAAAAAATATACATATAAATTGTTTAATAAGTTCTTGCATC